CTTTGCAAGCGACAGGTTGCGAGATGATAGTAGGCACACATGAGACCATCTTTAAGATGCATCTATTAGGATTATAAAATATCTAAACAGTCCACTTGGTAGGTGAATAGGTCCACATATATCCCCATATATACGTTTTAAAAAGGCAGGGGATTCAATGCCAACCTTCATTGGTGATGGTCTAGTGATCATTTTGCCTTGATAACAAGCACCACAAGAAAATTCATTATTTTTAAGAATCTTCAGGTTCGTTAATAGATGCCCACTCGAATTTTCAGTAATTCATCTCATCATTATTGATCAAGGATGGCCCAAACGGCCATGCCAAAGCACAAAAATATTTGAATCAGTAAACTTCTGGTTTACGATAGAGTGTGCTTCAACTATACTAATCTTTGAATAGTATAAGCCATAAGTTAAAGTTGGTAACTTTTCTACAATATATTTCTAGCCAGAGACACTTTTTGTAATACAAAGATATTCCATATTCATTTCATCTATCGTCACAACATGATACCCATTTCGGCGGATATCTATAAAACTCAACAAGTTTCTTTGGGACTTAGAGGAGAATAATACATTGTCTATAATACGTTTTGTTCCCTTAGACAGAAATATAGTGGCTCTTCCGGAACCTTCAATCAAACTTATATTACCAGAAATTGTTGAAATATTTGTTTTTTCCTTATGCAAATAAGAAAAGTATTTATGATCTTTGAATATGGCATGAGTTGTTCCACAATCAATTACACAAATATCTTCATGATTGGTCTTTGATCCAAACATAATTTGAGGATTATCCATATTCTCTGATACTTTTAAAGTATTTGTTCGAGATGGCCGAGTCTCGTGCTGATAACGTATTATGAAATAAAGACTGTAAAGTAAAGACAAGTATAGAGAGAAACTGATATATTATTCAAACTTCAAAACTTATGTACATAATGAACTGAAATCTCCTCTATTTATAGAAGAAAGGAAGCTGTTGTGTAAGCTGCTTCTGCAAGCTGCTGTGTAAGTTGCTACTGTACCAGATATAGATAATCTTCTACCGGAGTGATATTTATCCATAACGGAGTACCAAAAGGATAAGCTCATTATACGAGAAATAGATAATCTTCTAACGGGGGTGATATTTATCCATAACGGGATACCGAAAGGATAAGTTTTTTCAGGAGGCTTATTTCCAATAGAGTACTAAATAGATAAACATATTTACGGCGGAGTCTCATATAGATAAGCTTCTTCAACAAATTTATTTACAACGGAGTACTAAATGAACATCCATAATATAATATATTTATAACAAATATGTATTATTGCCTACACGTGTATCTGTGTTTATTCGACAAAGGCAGGCTTTCACTAGGAACTTTCATTCAATTATCTCTCGTTCATTGGGAATTATAGTGGATATTGTTACGTATAATTATTATTATGCTCTTAAATAAGAAATTAAACAAGTTAGCTTCTCCATTTCATTCTCATAATAATTACAGAGGTTATCCCATTTGCTAATTTTTACCAAGTGATTTTCGTTACTTAAAAAAAATACAATATCTTCAAATAATAAGCAGAAAAAGTCGAAATGAGTTTTTCCTAAGAAAAGGGTATTTTTAATTATTCTTTTATTTGAGCACAACTTATGATAATGAAGAGCAAAATAAATTATTTTTGCCTAAATATCCATAATAAAAAAGTCTTTGTGATTGTTCCGAAAGAAATGAAATCCTTAGACTGACATAGTACCACAAAGCAGGGGTTAACATAAATGACTCTATGGAAGTCCTCTCCCACTTGAAAGCTAAATAAGGAGGAAAAGTGCCACGCTTAGTTGATTTTCAAAGCGATCAACATTAAATTCCCTCTTCTAGTTTTAACATGAATTCATTAAAATTATTAGAGTAATTTAGCCACTAGTGAGATTTAATTTCCGTAATAGCCAAAATCTATGATTTTTCCCATAATCACCACCGGCGTAATTATAGTGTTAGACTTTTTCAATAATATAAAAAAAGTTCTATATTATTTCTAAACGACCATAAAAATTTAAAAACTAGAATTGTGGGATTCATCGTTCAGAATCCCTTTTAAAAAATTGACGTATGCCACTAATTGCGGCGAGCACACGGTATTCATCGTTCAGAATCCCTGGTGTTCACCCGTGGCTGCGTCAGTTGAAAGGGGAAGCAAGAGCTCTTTATATAGTGCTTCAGCCGCTCGCTTGTTTTCTTAAATTCCGGTGCGGGACTCTTTTCACCGCACTTCACAAATAATTCCAATAAATGGACTTCTTTTGGGTCGAGTCCAATACATTAGGGCCCATGAACATGACCTCTACTCTTTGCTTATGCGATTCAAAATTATTCATACCTGAATTGAGAACATATTGTCTTCGATGATTAAGCGGGGAGAAGAAGTTATTCCAGCTGGCCGATGCGAGAGAGAGGAAGGCTCGGGATCTGAACCAAGTGAGGTGCATCAAAGACGAGGACGGTAGAGTTTTGATGAGGAAGTACCAGATTAAGCGGAGATGGCAGATCTAGTTTCATAAACTTCTGAATGAAGAAGGGGGTCGGGATATTGTGCTAGGTGAATTGGGGCAGTCCGAGAGTCACCGTGACTTTAGGTATTGTAGGCGCATCAAGGTTGAGGAGGTCGTGGAGGCTATGCGTAAGATGAGGAGGGGCAGAGCTACCGGGCTAGAAGAAATTTCGGTAGTATTTTGGAGGTGTGTGGGTAGAGCAGGCTTGGAGTGACTGACTGGGCTATTTAAGGTTATTTTCAGAATGAAAAGGATGCCGAAGGAGTGGAGGTGGAGCACGGTGGTCCTGTTGTACAAGAACAAAGGTGATATACAGAACTGTAAAAACTATAGGGGTATCAAATTATTGAGTCATACCATAAAAGTTTGGGAGAGGGTGGTAGAAGTGAGGGTGAGGAGGACGATGTCTATTTTAAATAACCAGTTCAGGTTCATGCCGGGGCATTCTACCACGAAAGCTATCCACCTTATTAGGAGGTTGGTAGAACAGTACAGGGATAGGAAGAATGACCTGCACATGGTGTTTATTGATCTGGAGAAAGTGTATGGCAAGGTTCCTAGAGAGGTTATATGGAGATGCGTGGAGGCAAAAGGTGTGCCGGTTGCTTACATTAGAGTGATTAAGGACATGTATGATAGAGCTAAGACTCGGGTTAGGGTAGTGGGAGGCGATTCAGAGCATTTTTCGGTTGTTATGGGGTTACACCAAGGGTCGGCGCTAAGCCCATTCCTATTTGCCCTGGTAATGGATGCATTGATATACCATATCCAAGGGGAGGTGCCATGATGTATGTTATTTGCTGACGACATAGTTTTGATTGATGAGACGCGAGGCGACGTCAACGAGAGGCTGGAGGTTTGGAGACAGGCCCTCGAGTCTAAGGGTTTCAAGTTGAGCAGGGCTAAGACGGAATACCTAGAGTGCAAGTTCAGCGTCGAGCCGACGGAAGAGGGAGTGGACATGAGGCTTGAATCACAAGTCATCCCCAAGAGGGGCAGTTTCAAGTACCTTGGGTCAGTGATACATGAGGATGGTGAGATTAACGAGGATGTCACACACCATATAAGGGTGGGGTGGATGAAGTAGAGGTTAGCGTCTAGAGTCCTGTGTGACAAAAAAATGTCACTGATACGCAAAGGTAAGTTCTATAGAGCGGTGGTTAGACCAGCCATGTTGTATGGGGTTGAGTGTTGGCCAGTTATGAACTCACATATCCAGAAGATGAAAGTAACAGAAATGAGGATGTTGAGGTGGATGTGCGGGCACACTAAGATGAATAAGATAAGGAATGAAGATATTCGGGAGAAGATGGATATGGCCCCATGGATGACAAGTTGTGGGAAATAAGGCTTAGATGGTTCGGGCACGTTCAGAGGAGAAGCCCAAATGCCCCGGTAAGGAGATGTGAGGTGCTGGCTTTGGCGGGTACGAGGAGAGGTAGGGGGAGGCCTAAGAAGTATTAGGGAGAGGTGATCAGACAAGACATGGTGTGGAAAGAAGACATGGCCCTAGACAGGAAGTTGTGGAGGTCGAGCATTAAGGTTGTAGATTAGGGGGTAGTTGTGCATATTTCTACGGTGCTCCAAAGTGAGGCTAGTGTGTTAGGATTTAGTCTTAGACTACTAGTGGTTAATATTGAGTTCACACCACTCTTTCGTTTCTCTTAGTGCCGGGCTTTATCTAATGGTTATTGTTTCGCTTTTCATCTATTTACTGATTCTTGTGATGCTATTATTTTTTTCTATGGTTTATTGATGGTACTGATCTATTATCTCTTTTCGTCGTCTTTTCGTCTTCTTAAGTCGAGAGTCTATCTGAAACAACCTCTCTATCCCTCAGGGTAGGTGTAAAGTTCCGGACCCCACACTACCCTTCTCAGACCCCACTAGTAGAATTTTACTAGTTGTTGCTGTTGTTGTTGTTGTATTATCTTTGATAATTATTTTTGTTTTCTTATCAATAATATACGCATAGTTTATATGGCAAGTCCCATATTGTTTTAATACCAAATACAAGGTAAAATAACACACATGCTAGAAATATATGTAGTAGTATTAGAGGCGGATGCACACTATAGTTTGAGGGGTCATCGGCACCTGAAAATTTAGACAAAAAATTCCATATATACTTACGCATGTTTTCAAGAAATAGTTAGATATCAGTATAGGCCCCCATATTTTATATTGAATGTGATAGTGCTCCCGATATCGCCAATCCTAGGTCCGCCTCTTGAATGTTAATTTTTGTCTTTAAATTATTCTTATTTAGTTAATGATTTCTTAATCATAATCTTCCATTTATTCTGAATAAGTTGTGGTTTTGATTTTAATTTATAAGAAATCTTTCAAAATAAAATCTTCATCTCTTTAAAATAGAATACACCATTTAATTAATTATTTATTTACCTCATATTTAAGTACTACTATATATCAGTTCAACTTTTTTGCTTAGAATCATTCTAATCTAAGATTTTTGATTAGAGAAAAAAGTGTCGGCAGGTTTCAGTTTCAAGAGTCATAGATAGAGACAACAAAGAAGTGATACAATTTAATGCCAGGTTTCAATTTTTGGCGTTAAGCTTCAAAGAAATCAATACTGGAGTTACTAAATGGGGAACCACCATACCCGTTACAAACACCACCATCACCATCAACAAGAAACCTCATTTCCTGTTCCTCCAATACCCACAGCTCAATCCCAGAAAACAGTGAGTACCCAAATGGGTTTGGTTTTGCCTTATGGTCAAGTTGACTCTAGCTTGTGTGGTCTAGCTGGTCAAGCTGAAGGCTTTGGTGCTTCTTCCATTGGTGGTCGTGATGGTCATATTTATCAAGTTATGAATCTCAATGGTTAGCTGGCTTTTCTTATCTTTCTTTCTAGTTGATGAAGTTAATTTTTTGTGTCTTCAATAATTTACGGGTTAAAATTGTTTGTTGTGATAAGTTATACTACTTATGGTAAAACGTCATCCTGATGCACAAAGCATCGCGCGTTCACGCAAGATCCCAGGAATGGCCGCACCCCAAGAGTTGTGACGTAGACAGCCTCTAATGCAAGCATTAGTGGCTGTTTAAACGGCTTGAACCGTGACCGATAGGTCACACGGAGACCCTCCAAGGCTGCCCTTCAAGTTATACTACTATAGTATCTTGAAAATTTTGAACTTTTTTTTTTTGTTGGGGAGGACATAGTTTTTCTTTCTTATTGGAGAATATAGGGAAATGTGTTTGATTTTGGAATTGATGTTGTTCTTTAAGTAGTTTTGCGGGTAGAAATACCGGCAGAGATAAAAATACTACTCCCTCCGTTCCAGTTTATGTGAACCTATTTACTTTTTGGTTCGTTCCAAAAAGAATGACCCCTTTTTAAATTTGGAAATAATTTTGATTAAACTTATAATTCTACCCTTAATGAGAAGCTTTTATAATCACACAAATACTCTGGGCCCCTTTTTGACTTGTTTAGGACCACAAATTCCAGAAGTCTTCATTTTTTCTTAAACTCTGTGCTCAGTCAAACAGGTTCACATAAATTGGAACGGAGGGAGTAGATGATTTATTCCTATCTATCCAAGAATTGGTGGATAGTGTTATCCCTTACCTATGCTGGTGGGAGGTAGCAGGTACCCCGTAAAAGTAGTTGTCACTTTAATCGCACCCCTTTTTCACCCCCTGCAAAATATTACTATGTTATGGTGTAGTCGAGGTGCGCGCAAGCTGGCGTCGACACCACGGTTATTAAAAAAGGCTAGTTTGGCTGGCGTCGACACCACGGTTATTAATTAGTTGTGATTGGCTATTCGAATGCTCATTAACCATTCTGCTCTATTCATGTCGGCTTCAACCTAATGCTGAATAATTTTACGTTTAAGACTACTTTAAGGAAAATCAGGTTACTATATATTTCACACTTCTCCTGAATAGTTGTTTATGCCTTATTACTGGACAGAATTCATACAAGGTCCTTCCTTTTCTTTTGATCCATTAGTTTTCCCATCTGTGGTACTGTCTGAATTTTAGGTTGTACTATATGTTGAATGTTTGCTGAGCTCACTGTCATCATTAAGCATTGGTGAAAAACTAATAAGAGGATTATTGCAAGTTGGAGAGCACTCCATTGGCAAGTTAGCAGTATTACCATTCTACTTGATACCCTGTTATGGTTAACTAATATCACTATCCTTGCACGTGGTCAATTGAATTTCTCATTCTTATACCAGTTCTACAAAAAATAGATAATGGATATGGCGAAAGCTTTTGGCTTTCCCTTTGTTTAGTATGGTGTGTATCAGGATGGTGTGCCGTTCATGATCAGAAACTTCCTGTAGGTTCATATCATGTTTTTAGACTTGTGGCCCGATTACTTGAGACCTGCTCGTAGCCTTTTTTAAAAAATAAAAAATAAAATCAGCTACCAGCATTATCGCCTGGTTCTGAACATGAGACAGCTCCTCCCTGATTATGCTCTTGACTTTTTTATCTTTCATGTTTTCCGTCCCACATCCTGCTCTTCTACAACCTCCTGCTACTACCATTGTGCCACTAGTCACAAAAAATGTGTTACATTTAAGTCAAATTTCAATGAAATTAGTTTAGGTAGAGGATCTCTCAAGAATGCTCTGAAGTTGCTCAGAGAACGAAAAATTGACAAGTTTCTTGAGCATAGAGGGGGGAGGCAATGGTGTAAGATGATTTAATACCATGGCCGGGGTGGTGAGGGGGGAATGGAGTTCCTCTTTCCCCGGGAAGGGGAGGTGGTACAGGGGGCGAGTACGATCAGAGGAAGCATTGATGTTTCAGTTGTTTATTATTTGTTACCCTTATTTTATTATTTTAACTTACATAAGGTGCGAGCTAGGATTCCATTTAAGGTTTATTAAGGGAATGGGATGGAATATAATAAGTCCAGACAGAATAAGATAACAGGGTTGGAGCATTCTTGGTGTAGATTCAACATAGTGTGACTATCTTTGTTGTTCGTTTTCGTTGATAATTCTATGAGATTTATATTTTGAATATTATTGTAGATGACGGGCCAGGATCACTTCGTGATGGATGTCGTAAAAAAGAACCTCTATGGATCGTCTTTGAAGTTTCAGGGACCATTGAGCTCCGATCTTATTTGAGTGTGTCGTCTTACAAAACTATTGATGGGCGAGGCCAAAGAATCAAAATCACAGGGAAAGGTTTGAGGTTGAAAGAGTGTGAACATGTGATCATCTGCAATATAGAGTTTGAGGGAGGCAGAGGACCCGATGTTGACGCCATTCAGATTAAACCAAAGTCAAGGCATATTTGGATAGACCGTTGTAGCCTTAGCGACTATGACGATGGTTTAATTGACATCACAAGGGAGAGCACAGATATTACTGTTTCTAGGTCAGCTGAACGTGCTTTATCATATATATCTTGTTATGACATCTATTTTTGGATCTTGAACTTTGTTGTTGCGACCAGGTGTCACTTTTCAAAGCATGATAAGACCATGCTTATTGGAGCAGATCCTTCTAATTGTACCGACAGATGTATGCGGGTCACCATTCACCACTGCTTTTTTGATGGAACTAGACAGCGGCATCCTCGTGTTAGATTTGGCAAAGTACATTTGTACAACAACTACACCAGGAACTGGGGAATTTATGCTGTTTGCGCAAGTGTAGAATCACAGGTAGTACCGCTTTTAGCAGCTTTTTCCTCTCTTTTCTATCTCTCCTCTTATTGAAGGTTGGGAAAGTAGGGTTATGTAAATTCAGTAATATCTGTCCTTGCTATTGTTGTTGATAACTTAAATATCTCTCATGTCAGATATATTCCCAATGCAACATATATGAAGCTGGACAAAAAAAGGTGGCATTTAAATATCTCACAGAGAAGGTAAATCTACTACGTAATACTTATTTTATTTTGCAACCAAAAACCATGTGATAAATCATCTACTGTTTTCTTTTATGCAAAAGTTTTCCAATTCCTTCTCTTAGAAAGCAACTTGGATTGCACAGTAGACTTGAGCAGCCTTAACCTTTAAACTTGACGGGTCCAAAAGTTAGCAGAAAATTTTATGATGATCCTTCTTCCTGAAGTCCTAACCGTTGTACTGCAGTAGTACAATCTTATGTGTAAGCAGCTTTTTGCCTTGGTACTTTTTCCGCCTTAGTACTAGATCTTAGGGCCTAAAAAAGGGAAATGAGGGTGAAAATCAGAAGGGGAAAAATGTCGTTCTTTACTGTCATGAGGAAATTCCAGGATGCGGCATTGGTAAAGATATCCTCTCTTGCCTGTGCTTTTATTGGTAACAGCCTCTCATTTTCATCAAGGGGATACTAAATGAATAAAATGGATTACCTTATCAGGGGAGAAGGGACGCTTACAATGTTATATATCAGAAAAAAATTTGTTAAATCATCAGATTTGGTCGTGCTTCTTATATCTCTTTATTCTTTTACTTAATTTCTTATATTATTTTTTTGGGAGAGCTCAAAATAAATTTCTCCCCCACTTTTCTCCTTCATCCCTGCTTCTTCTGCAGTGGAGTTCCATGCTTATGGTTGCTCGTCAAATTTGAAAAAGTCAAAGAAATTGTTGTAAGTTGAGCAAATCCAAACATTGAGCTCATTTTATACCCTTTTCTTGTCAGACTTAACAAGTGAACCGGTGTAATTGAGGGATCTATGTAACATAACATAGTTCGAATCAATTGCATGTCCTTGTCAAACACATTTTCTGCTGGCCTTTCCATTTAAGAAAATTAGTGATCAAGCTGGATGAAGTTATTTTGTGGAGCTGAAAGCTTCCAATTCCCTATCAATCTCCCTTTAGTTGTGTTTTCCGTAATTCTGCAGTTTTACTAGCAAGTTTCGATTGATTGAACACCCCTCCTTGCATTTGCTGATAAATGCATCCTAACTTCAAAATCCAGAATCAGACATTCAAAATCAAAAATAACTGGTGGAGCCCAACCATCCCC